CTCCCTTCCCTGTTACTTATTCCCAGCTTCTGACAGAGGCTAGGGATACCATTCCTAGCCACCTTGGCTTATAGCCATTGATGGCCCTCTCCTCATGTATTTATCTAGCTCTTTTTGAACCCTGTGAAAGGCCTTGGTTTTCACAACATCCTCTGGCAAGGAGTTCCACAGGTTGGCTGTGGTATGTGAATAAATACTACCTTTTGTTTGTTTTAAACCTGCTACTTATTAAATGTACTTATATGTACCACCCTAAATTTAAACTCCAAAGAACTGGTGATAGAGCATCTTCTTTCCTTTGTCGATTTACCTGTTTTCGACCTCCCAGGTAAAGCACAAAGCCCATTCATTTACTGACATATTGTGGGAGGGATACATGGGAAACCTCAGAGCACTTTGGGTCTAGTGTTTCTATGTGTGGTGAATGCCAGGAATCTGCCTACAAGTTTCTTAATATGTAGATGTTTTGAGAAGCTTGAATGATTTTTTTGTGTTTTATATCAGTATTCAGATGCTGATTTTTCCATCAGCCTTTTCAATCAAAACAAAAATGCTTACAAAAGGATTTCACTAGGGTGAAAAATTTAACTTTTTCAATTATGTTTCTATCTTAAAAACATCTTTTTATGAGGGACACTCTTTTTCACACACACATCCCCAGCCCTTTTTCCAGAGGTGGTGGTGAAATAAGTAAAAAACTAGCATTTTAAAAAATTATACTGACAACCTTAATTGTGGAATTCATGGGTGTTTTAGGGCTAGACTTTGCCTACAAGGCCTTACTCCGAGTCCTTAATGTTCTGTTTTGGTTGTAATGTTCTAATTAAAAACAACCAAAACTATCCATTGGAACCATATTGACCCCACCTCCACCTGGGTTATCAGGAGGGTTTGGACAGCTAGATCCACAGCACAAGCTGCTGCAGGTTGTACCAGGAGAGTGACTGATAGCAGCAGTAGGCTGTTACCCTTTGTGTGGGCTACAGCTACTGGCTGACAGCAGAGCACTCCAGAGACTCTGGACCCCTGAGATCAAGAGGGGAAAATTGTGTAGGCTTACATACCACTCTGCCCCTTATTCCTCCCCCCGCCGCCCTGGGGCGGTCACACCACCAGATGGAGCCTTGCCCTCACACCAGGCTCTCCAAGGCCTGGGCCAGTGGGGTGGCTGATGAGGCGCGGACTGCACGAGGCTCCTGCACGTTCTCACCGCCCAGCGCGAGCGACTGCACTTCGGCCAACTCCCGCCTTCCCTCCCTGCAGTCGAGCCGCTGAGGAAGGTGAGGGCGGCTCCTGGCCAGGGGGCGGGCAAAGAATCTCGGCGCGCGGGCGGCTGCGGGGGGAGGGGGGCGTTGGCCGCTGACGATCAAGGCGATTGGCAGGTCTGCGGTTGCGCGGTGCCGGAGAGAGACGTTTCTTGGCCCAAGCCCGGCCCTGCGGATGTGGTGTGCGTGGTGCTGGGTACGTCTCGGGCCGGTCTCCGGTTGCTTCGGGGCACTGCTTTCTCGCGCTGCTCCGCTTGCTGTCGCTGTGCGGGGCGCGGAGCTTGGCACCCTCCCTGCCGCGGTGCGGGCTCCGCGCCTGGCTGCAGTAGGGCTGCGCTCGGCTCGGGTAACGCGCTAAGCACGGGCTGTCCCTCCATGTGGTGTGCGTGGTGCTGGGTACGTCTCGGGCCGGTCTCCGGTTGCTTCGGGGCACTGCTTTCTCGCGCTGCTCCGCTTGCTGTCGCTGTGCGGGGCGCGGAGCTTGGCACCCTCCCTGCCGCGGTGCGGGCTCCGCGCCTGGCTGCAGTAGGGCTGCGCTCGGCTCGGGTAACGCGCTAAGCACGGGCTGTCCCTCCTCCCCTGGGGAAGAGGCTGCTCTGGCTGCCAGCACAGGGGCAGCTTTCCCTGGCGCTCTGCTTCCACTGTTCTGCCCTCACCATTCCGCCCTTCCCCGCCCGCTGTCTTCTCCCTCCGCACCACGCGGCTGGGAGCCTTTCGCCGGCCCTTCTCTGCCTTTCACTCGGAGAAACCTGGTCGCTGTGGCTGTCCCAAAGCCAGATGGTCAGTAGCTCACTAACGTAGTTAATGGAGTTAAACAAGAAGCACTTACATAGTGTCATCGTTGTCTGTAAACAGCCAAGGTGAAGCATTTGAGGGGGTTATCATCAAGCAGCGCTAGTTCCACCACAAAAATAGATGCCTCGGGCTATTTTTCTATAGGTTTTTTTTGAGGTTTACTAGGACTTTGTCCCTTCCTTTGGCTAGGTATGTTAAAGTAGTTGACCTGCTTGTGACAGTGGTGATGACGAGGACATGAATATCTGTTTCTAGAAGGCTAAGCCTTACTAATTTTGTCTTGTGTAACCTGATGCAAATCATCTCTCAACTTCTTCTCGTGGTCTCTAAACCTGTTCAGTTTTTTAGTTTTCATCTGCTTTGACAGTCAATGAGTTGCAAATTCACTCTGGTTCCAGTACAGGGAACTTCTATATTTCCTAGGCTTTGTCTTTTGGAAAGTTCTTTGGTTTAGATAACCCACTTTCTTCTGCAGAAAAAGCTACAAGAGGACTATCTATTTGTTTTGTGGCATGAAAGATGGTACAGCATTAATAATGCAGAAGATGAAATATATAAATAAACCCTTTTCATTTAAAATGAGTGGTCTTATCCAAAATGCTCATTCTCAATTTAACAGTTTTTTTTTTAAATTATAAAGCTGGTTTAACAAACCCCTGAAAATTATCTGGTTGTTTTCTTCCACTCTGCAACTCTAGACACTCCTAAAGCTAACCGCCAATTAACATAGCTAGTAGAGGGAGAGCCACTCTTCAGTAAAAGCTGATACTTGAAAGTCCATCGATTTACTTGTATAACCCATAACCTCAACAAGTTCGCTGGTGATAATGTCGCATCTTCTGTAACCAGAATCAGGCTTGGTAAGATCAATTGGAATGTTTAAGATGTACAACTTCTTTCACTAATACTAGTTCATTTACTAATGTACACGGTCTAATGTGCCTTCCCCCACCCAGATCAAAACTGTGCACAGTTGGTGTGACTGAACTGGCATTAGTATCCATCTTTCAGCAGCCGTGCAGCTGCATTGTTGGTATAAATGACATAAGGGCTAATGGATGATTTTAGCATCATATCATCAAAACCCTGCAATGCTGCTGAGAGGATTACATGTCTGATCTTTGGCTGTAGGTGGAAACCTAATTCAGTTGCTCCAAAACCTGTCCTTTTTTTAAAAAAATTTTCTTTCTCCCCCTTTCCTCTCCCTCCCTGGATCTTGAGGGAAGAACAGGCATGGCCTTGCTGAAGAATCGATTTCATTTTAATGGATAATAAATGTAGTGGAATATTTAATGTCTATTTGGAACTTGTTCTTATCATTTGTATCTAGTTCTGTATGTAATAGTCACTTAAAAAAAAGTTAGTGTGTGTAAGCACACACTAAAGACATTTCCAAGATGGCTACAAGCATGCAACCATCTCATCAGGATATAGCAATACTGCAAAAGGATTTGAGTCAGATTATAATTGGCACTGGTTGGCTAACTTGGAACTGTAGCATTCTCTACCTGCAGCCAAGGAGGACTTTTTTTTAAATATTTGTTTTAAAAAAAATATTTTATTATGAAATGCTTTTAGTCATAATACATCAACATCAATAGGGCACTACCTTAGGAAGGGAGCTTTGGCTTCATGTAGTAAATAGCTACAAACTGATCTGTTAGTCTCTAAAGTGTCAAAAGATTCTAAGTTTAACACTAAATACATATATACTATCATGAGCTTTTATGGGCAAAATCCACTTCTTCAGATGAGTTTGAGTGGAGCTCTTTTTCCCCACTCAAGCTCATTTGAGGAAGTGGGTTTTGCCCATAAAACCTCAGAGACTATCATACGTTGCCACAGAACTACCATTTTTAAAATTACAGATTAACATGGCTACCCCTCTGAGACTTAACTTCTTTAAATAGTCTCACTATTAAATTTGATTTTTGAAATCTTTTTGTGGCCTTTCAGGCAGTTAAGTCTTAATTTTATATGGGGATTTTTTTAAATGACTTTTTAATGGCTCAGGTATTTAGCATGACCTGTAATTTTACTCTGGAAGTTAAAATGCTTCTTAATTTAAAATCTTTTAATTTTAAACTTGCTGTGAAGTATTTATATACTTAAGGAAAAGTGATCAAAATTATACAAACCTTCAATTTCTGATGGTGGATAAAAATAAAATCTCAGCCTGTTTCTCTGATTTCCCCTTAAGGATATCTAATTCAGTTCAAACTTAACCAAGAGCTCTGTTTTAGCCTTTTCTCCTCCTTACTGTTGTCTTTCTTGATCACTGTGGGAAATGGTATCCTGTACCATTCTGCTTAGTATTTGGGCCTGGGCTTCCTTTCTGACTCAGTGAAGCTGTAACATATAGGCTATATTGAAGTCTTGAAGATATATTTTTGCATAACATCTGTAAAATATAGCCATTTGTATCCCTCCATATAGCTAAACTTCTCAGTCAGGCTTTCCTCCTATTGATTAATACATAATTATATGGCTCTTTCTCTCTCTCTAGCATTGATACAGCAATCCTTCTGTCCTCCTTCCCGCTCAGAATGTTTCTGCAAAGATCATTTTTTCTAAGCTGTTTTGACCGTGTCATTGTTTCTTTGAATCCCTCCTGGCTGATCTTTTTACTATAGCCTCAAACACAAGCAACTTGTCTTCACTTTTTCAAGGCCCTTCATAATTGGTCCTTAGCCTACATGTCCTGCCTATATCAATAGCTAATGAAAACATACCACTGGCTCACAGCATCAGTCTCATTTGCCCATTTGCTTATTTGAAAATAATACCATTCTTTCGCACATGCTTCCCCCTCATGCTTGGAATAAGTTTCTTGTAAATTTCTGCAAAACCAACTCATTCTCTTTCAAAATGCTCCTTAAAATTTTCCTTTGTCATGAAGCCTACAGAAAACTTGACAATGGCAAGGCTGTTGATGTGCTGACATCATACCCTAATTACTCTGTCTGATGCTGTATCGTTGTTTCCTTGTGCTTTTTCCCCATCTGTATGCATCTGGTGTCTCTTGGACTGGAAGCTTTTTGGAGCTTTTTGGCACTCTTTGTTCTATGTGCAGCATTTAACACTGGGTGGGTTACAGTCCATGACTGAGGCTTCTAGGTTATACAAATTATCTCCTGCATGGTCCATGAGTGAATACTCCTCTTGCCCTGCAGCAGAATATTCTTCACACTCTGGAGGGGAGGGAGAGGAGGAACATGCCTTACTGAATAGTATAAACTTAAAACCTGGTCTGGTAGCACTTTATAGACTAACAAAACATGTAGATGGTATCATGAGCTCATTTATATGGCACACTTTAGCCAAGCTGTTCGTGAGTATTCTCCAAAATAACTGCAGCACAATGGATCTGATGGTAAGAGGTTTCCAATTCCCTAAGTCTTTCAGAGCCTCAGGGTCCATCATTTTGGGGATGAGCAGTGATCAACATTCCTTAATCCCATCAGGAATCACCCCTGTAACAAGCCAAGTATTGAACAGCCCAGCCAACGTATGGCCCTCGGGATCCATGCAGACCAAGTCTCTCAAGCTGACATTGTCAGGGCCCAGAGCCGATTTCATACTCATTTCTTTAATGTTTTTCATTATCTCTTTTGCTGAGATCAGGATATTGAATGCAGAGTTGTCTGCATTTGCATGAAGAAGTGGGACTGTGCCCAGGAAAGCTCATGATACCATCTACATGTTTTGTTAGTCTATAAAGTGCTACCAGACCACTTTTTGTTTGTTTATCTTGTGCAGACTAACTCGGCTACCCCCTGGAGTTACTGAATAGTCTCAGAGTACTGAATAGCTGAGTCTCTTCCACAAACATATCTTCCTTAACCTAAGATCAACAAAAGGAAAAATTATATAGCACTTAGTCTATAAAGTGCTACCAAAGTGCTATATAATTTTTCCTTTTGTTTTACCAAGATCAGACTAACATGGCTACCTCTATTACTTTTTAACCTCAGCTAGTTAATAAGATTGGGGAAAAAGTGTGACCAGTGTATCACAGGAAAATAATTGTTTCACACCTGCAGGCTTAAATGCATTGACAAAACCTGACAGACAAGGTGGAATAGGTAATATTGGACTGATTTCTGTTTGTCTAGGTTAGAGAGACTAGCTTTCACACTGAGTTCTTCAAGTCAACTGTAGTTTGCCAGATATCTAGGCTGTTACTATCTGTAAAATAAAATGTAGGGAATGGCTTAGTTTATATATTAAGGGATTGGGTGGGAATAGATTTGGGTTAATGCCAGAAGGTCTGTCTTGACTGGGAAGGGCACATGATTTTAGTTCAGTGTATTATATGGAGAGTGTGGCTTTAGCCCGAAGTCTCCATGGAAGATATTTACATTTCAGAGGGAAAACTCCTGCCTGATGTGAAATGCTACC